TTTTAACCGGGGGGAAAAAGGGTGAATGGGACCTGCGAACGGCCGATTCGCGGTGCAAAACCGGCGACTGTTAACGAGACGCGCAATGTTTTATTCGCTATTAACAAAACATCTCGGCGAACAAACAGCCGAGAAAAGGGAGAAAGAAAGAAAGAAAGAAAGGAAAGGGAAATAGCCTCCGCATATGGCAACTTGTCGGCGTTGCATCGTAAATCTATCCAAAGAATGTCCTTCCAGCGACAGAGATTTATTGCTCGTATGTGGTACACACGTTGCGTGGCGCGCCACGGCCTGTCCATTTATCAGTATAATCTTATACGATACAAAATTATCGTATTTAATAACCTGCCCACAGGAACATGCTCAATAAAGCTCGCGCAGTGACGTTCCCATCGATTTATATCGCGAATCTGCGGTGGTTTCGGCGCGGCAACTTTATCGAGGCGACACGCGGCGCGGCTGTTTAGCCGCATTGGTATCATTGTCGATTTCGCACCCTTGTTAATTACAGCCAGAAATCGGTGATTATTCATCGAGCCGCGGCGCGGGATGTGTTCTAATCGACGGCGAAAACGACGACGACGCGGCCCGTCGTCTTAATCAATGTTATCTGTTCGGCCGGCTTAATAGATTGCGGGGGCGGGGATCCGCGATCGATTATCCGCGTTGGCAATGCAAACGAATCGTAATTTTTCATTCGCATCATTTGCATTTATTCGGCCGCGGCAAGTTGGCGTAATTACCCGTAAGATTGAGACGTGAAAATATGGACCGACGATGTTCTATTAGCTCCGATGATGAATGTGCCGCGCGAAGTTCGGCTCGTCTCGATCATTCGTCCGCGCTTCTGCGTTTGCAACGTGCGAGCAGCGTGTTTTACGCGCGTTCCGAAATCTCGCCGGAAATTCCGTTAGAAATTTCACGCGCGATTTATGCGCACGTGCGTCCCGCGTGATAACGTTTTTGGGACAAGCGCGGCGGTTTTATAAATAATGCTTAAATAGAACGTAATGCATAAAATCGCGGACGGGAAATCGATGACGGTACGGATCGCGCCGATTTGTTATCCATCGGTGCGCCGCGTTTAAGCGAAAATATGTATCTTCTGCAGCTGTTGCGCGCTTTGCGGATTCGTTCGGATTTTGGAGCATTTCAGCGGAACGAAGTTAATATGTTAAGATTTTTCTGTTGCTTCGTAGTTTTCGTTTCTTGCTTTTTTTTCGATGCTTCCCGTGCTGAGTAAAATGAAGGAAAATGAGTAAAACAGTCGAGGAAGTGTGTCTTCTATATTTTTGATTATATTAACATATATATTCAATCTATAAAATCGTTATTATTCATTTAAAATCGTAATTCATTTTGTATAATACTTATTATGCTATTGTTGTGGCTTTATATCATGGTCGTAATAGTTTATTTTCAATGATTATATTATTATTATTATTATTATTATTATATCATTATTATATTATTATTATTATTATATTATTATTATTATTATATTATTATTATCATTATTATTATTATTATATTTGTATCATAAATGTCAGATACATTATATTTATATTGTAAATATCGTATATATTGTATTTATATTATAGTTTTCATATGCAATATATTTATGTTATAAATGTCATAGATATTATATTCACAATATAAATATGATATGAATATCATAGACATTATATTTATAATATAAATATGATATGAATATCATAGACATTATATTTATAA